CGGGGGGGGAGGCTGGTGCATGGAGCCATTTTTCATTCTGTCTGTTCCCCACATGCAAGATCCGAAAGGGAGGCTCAGGGCTTTCCCTCCTCACTCCTTTCCCCCCACAGGAAGCTGGTGCTGGTGGTCCAGTCTTGTAGGGGTCATAAGGCTGTAGCGCCAGCTCTGGCTCAGTGCTGCTGCAGGAGCTGGGAGGCGGCTGAGTAGGGTCTCCAAAAGAGTCATATCTGGCTCCCTAGTGAGCCATATTTGGCTCGCAAGCCATGGGTTGCTGACCCCTGCTTTAAAGTCGTCTCTTAACTTAGCTCCTCCTATCTAACTGATTTAGTAACCTATTATATTTGGCTCGCAAGCCATGGGTTGCTGCCATGGGTTGTCAGCCTATTATGATGTTTTTACTCTGCTAGTGCTTGCTCCCATCCTTTATCACCCATTAGTTAGCTGCTTGTTAAAAACCTCTGTGCTTTCGCCTATGCTGTCCCTGATGCTCAACATAACATATGAAGAATCACTTCTTTATCTTCTTTTTGAAACCTGGTTTTTGCTGTGATGTTTACTAATCTCAGCTTGTTAATTGTGGCTAAGCAGATGACCAGCTGAGACTATTCTCCTTTTCTTTCTCTACTCTTTTTCTTTGCACCTTTACTCTCAAAAAGTAAAGTTAAAACAAACAAACCTGCATCCATGTAACTAGCAAAGTCATGACCGCTGTTCACCATGTTCATTGCTCATTTGTTGCATCCACAACTTCTCCTTTTTGTTTGTCTTAAAATTGTAAACCCTTTAGGGCAGTTATTGTCTCTTTTGCTTTTATTTCCTTATAAGGCTAGCATTACTGGGTCCCAGTGCTGAATGAGGTCTTTGCGTTTTTCCATCATATTAATAGTCGTCATTCCTGTTAGGTAAAAAGTCTGATTATAATGAAAGATTGTCACCTCTTATTTATTTTTACTTCATTTCTCCGTATATGAACAAATACAACATTTTATTTTCCAGATCATCACTTCGGTCTTATTTTCCTATTGGAAGGTGACATACATATACAGTTAGCTGACTGGTGACAGAAACGTGAATCAAAATGCCTAATTTTGAACATCCAGAGTATCCAGAGGCTACCTTACTTCACTTGGAAAGTATGGTGCCCTGTCGAGAATCCCAGGTGTCATCACTGTTATCAGTATTTGGCAAGGTAACTCTTTCTGTATTGTGCCTTTGAGTAGATCAGACGTTGTACCATAATTTTTTTTGTTATGGGTGGGTTGGTAACAGACTTCAGTGCATTGTTATTCTGAGTTAGGCTAGCTGATTATATTTGTAATTTGAGATCTTATATTATGCATCTTTTGTATCAGTCTTCTCTAGTATGTGTCTAATAAACTTTAAAACATTAGCTGTCCTAAGCAAGCAGAAGCTTTATAGCAAATTTTTTCCTGTGGGCTGATATTAGTTGGCTCTCCACTGCTAGTCATGTTTGGCTGCTGCAAGGTAGTGATAGGAAAGATCCTTGCTCTTCTCACAGTTCTGCTTTTCTTGGGTGGCCTTCTCGTGTGGATAACTCTAGTACTTGTCTGCTGTTGTGTAAGTGATTTCCCAACAGAAACAACATGAAACATGAATCTTGATAGCTTGTTGCTGCCCATAAGACTCTGAGATAGTGTCTGTAAAACTGATCACAGGCTCAGCCTCCTAGGGTATGTCTAGACTACGTTTTTTTTTCTAAAAACTTCACCTGCGTCCACACTGCAATCACATTCTTTTGAAATTAAATCAAAAGAACACAGGGTTTTTTTCGACATGGTAAACCTCAAATTACGAGGAAGAATGCCTTTTTTGAAAGAGCTCTTTCCAAAAAGGGTGTGTGTGGATGCAGAACAAGGACATTTTTTTGAAAGAAGCTGCCAACGAAAAAAGCACAGGTGCCCTGGTGGCCTTTCTGTGAATAGCAGTCAGGGCTTTCTTTTGAGAGACCATCCATGCAGTCTGGATGCTCACTTTCGAATAAGCAGATTGCTTTTTTGATCTAGTTTTGAGGTGTGGATGCTCTCTTTCGAAAGAGCTCTGTCGAAAAAGCTTATTTCAAAAGAAGCTGTCAGTCTAGATGTACCCCTATTGTGGGGCTGTGGCCCTGTGCAACTGTGGGGCTGGGGCTCCAGCCTGAGCCCGACACTGTCCCCAGCTGCCAACCATGATGCCTTGCACACCTATCCTTCCTGCCCTTAGACTCCCAGGTTCTCTGGTCCAGGGGCATCCGTGGTCCTTGACAGATCACAGATGTTGGCTGGATCAGAGAGTGCCAGTTTTTAGAGGTACAACCTGTACTGAACAGATACTACTGTATTAGGTAAACAATCGTAGTTTTATGTATGAGGGATGAGAAGATTTGCCTCCCCACTGATTTTCTCTGTTCTTCTGTCTACTCTCCTGTTCCAATATCTTCTGTTCTAGCCATGTGGTATCTTATGTAGTATATATTATATAGTGATGCTTTTTTGTTTTGGTCTGTAGACAGACACGGATCAGAGATTGGGTACATCTAGACTACATACCTCTGGCGACAGAGGCATGTAGATTAGGCTACCAGACATAGTAAAATGAAGCGGCGATTTAAATAATCGCCGCTTCATTTAAATTTACATGGCTGCCGCGCTGAGCCGACATCCTGATCCTGGGATGAGGCTTACCTGGGTGGTCGACAAATACCTTTGATGTCGACACCCGCGCGTCCAGACTACCGCGCTGAGCCGACAAACAGCTGATCAGCTGTTTGTCGGCTCAGCGCGGTAGTCTGGACGCGCGGGTGTCGACATCAAAGGTATTTGTCGACCACCCAGGTAAGCCTCATCCCAGGATCAGGATGTCGGCTCAGCGCGGCAGCCATGTAAATTTAAATGAAGCGGCGATTATTTAAATCGCCGCTTCATTTTACTATGTCTGGTAGCCTAATCTACATACCTCTGACGACAGAGGCATGTAGTCTAGACATACCCATGGTCTGGATGATGCGTGAACGATAACGTAGTAGCAGTTAGCCCCTGGCAGGCTGTCACCACTATATTTAACTACATGGCCATAGGTACTGGCGATTGGCGTTCCCATTGACTGCAAATCACTGTTCCTAATCAATGGAAGTGGCAGGAAGTGATGCAGACTTGGACATTGGTTCCTGCAGGTTCTTTGGATGAAAATGATGATCGATAGCCAATGGGAGCTACAATCACTGTTATGGGCCTGGCTAGGAGCTAACCCTAGTGGACTTGATCCAGCCTATAGGCCGGTATTTGCCCACTCCAATCTAGACCAGTGATTTTCAGCAAGGGGCACGTATACCATTGGGTGTACTCAGAGATGTTCGGGGGTACAGTACTCAACACAGCCTGGGGGTTACAGCTCCCACAGGGGTCATGGGGTGGGTAAGGGAGGTCTCAAATGCAGGGCCAGCATTAGGAAGTGGTAAGCAGGGCAGTTGCCTGGAGTCTCATACCACAGAGCACCTGGCAAAGCTAAGTTACCTTCTTGAACTCCAGTAACAGGGGAGGGTGTCAAGCTTCAGACATTCTCTCCAAATGAATGTCAAGTATCACACTGAAATTAATTGATTTATAATAAATGTTATGATAAAAATGAGAAAGTAAGCATTTTTTCTGTAATAGTGTGTATTTTTATATCTGATTTTTTTTATAAGCATCTAGTTTTTAAGTGAGGTGAAACTTAAGGTACATAAAACAGACTCTTTACAGAGGTATAATCATTTGAAAAGGTTGAGAACCTCTAGTCTGGATAATGCTTCATCATGTCTTGAGAGCAGGGACTGGATTAGGTGACTTTCTGAGCTCCCTTCCTGTTCTTCACATTTATGATTGTGTGTGTGTGTGTGTGTGTGTGTGTGTGTTTTAACAGCTGTAATATTAGCTTGAGGCTATAGATCCTATATGGTTTATTTTTGTGTAGTGTGATGTATCCTGAATGGGCTACACTACAGGCAAATATTTTCTTAAGACCGGAGTCTGAGATCTTTACACATATTGAACAGTACTGTGAACTGAACTAGTGCGGTGGTTGTCAGTGATGCATCTTGAGAAATAAGATATTATTCAACATGAATAAGGGGTTAGAATCCAGTCCTTAAGGACATGTCTTCTCTGGAGGAAAACTGATCTGCTAACTTGAGGTAAAATCCCAGTTGTTGTTTTCTTATGAGTTAACACAGTGGTTCCCAACTGCTGGTCCACGAACTGGCGCCGGGCTGTGGACCGCTGACTGTCAGGCTGTGGCACACTGCCATGCTACACTCATGCTTTGATGACTGGCTTGGCGAGACGTTGGAGCAAGTCCCAGTCTGCCCAGAAAAACCCCCTTCTCCTCTCCCTAGGTTTCTTTTCTCCTTGTGCCCAGCGCTGCATTGACTTCTCTGCGTGATGCTGCCTTGATATGGGGGATGCTGCCCGAGCCCAGGGGTGGGAGGGCCCCCAGAGGCAGGGACTACAGCACTCCAGGTTGCTTTCTAGGCCCCACCAGCAGGGGCTCTGAGAACCAGGGCTAGGCTGGGCTCAGCCCCCGGAGTAGAAAGTAACTCATAGCTGCTGTTCTGGGGCCAGGTTTCGGGCCTGATCCCTAAGTCTTGGCGGGAGCTGCTGCTGGGTCCCTGGAGCGCAGGCTGCAGCTGGGAGGGGGCATCTTCAGCAGGGTCAGTCACACTGCTCCCCAGGAGCCTCTTCCTGGGCAGTGCCCTCAGCCAGCCTCCCTGTCCCAGGAAGGGCAGCGCTGGGGAAGGTGGGGTGAAAGACAAGTAAGAGAGCTTCTCCCCTCCCCTCACCCCCTTGGAGCGGTGCTCTGGAAGTGTAGGGGGAGGGATTGGCCCTGGGCTGCTCCCAGCAGAGCTTGCTGTGATCCTTGTTCAGGGCACAAGGGAGCTGTCGCCAGCTCCCAGTGTGCGTGGGGTGGAGGGGAGCCAGCCCTGGGGGAATTGGGAGGGGCTGAAGAGGGGCGGGGGCAGATAAGTGGGAGTGAGGGGGAACAGGGATGTGAGAGGGAGGAGCAGGAGGAAGATGCGGGAGGGAGGTTGGGAGAATTCAGGGGAGACATCTGGTGCAATGGATGGAAACTCTGGGGGGTCACAGGGAGGGAAAGGGGGGATGTGGAGAGAGGAGGCTGGAGAGAGACTTTGGGAATAAGAGCGTCTGGCTAGGGTAGGGAAAAACACAGTGGAAAGGTTGTACAGAAGGAAACTGGTGGCGGGAGGCAGGAAGGGGAGAGGATAGAAGTGACTGGTGGTAGCATTTAAGGGTATAAAAAAGGTTGAAAACCACTGAGTTAGCCAATTGAGGTAAAACTAATATAGTGCCTTATTTTCACTAGAATTTTACCTTTGTTAGATAATTTGAGTTTAGAACACACCCTTTGCCTAAAGAAGACACAGCCTTAGTGTTCTGGGAGTTTCAGTGGTGGCTTTAAGCGCCTTTTTTGAACTCTGTTCTCAGGTTGGGGGGACTATAGAAGCAAAGTGATAAAATACCATATTGCATCTTAATTGTAGAGAGATGTATTTTTAAATTTCTTAATTTAAAACAAAGCTTTCCTTGTAGAAAACTGGGTGAACCAAAGTTCTGAATTCCTGAAATAAAGAGAAGGTTAGGTATGAAATGTTTTTAACTTTTTTTTTTTTTTTTTAAATAGCGTCAGCATTTTAGCTTCCCATCCATCTTTATTTATGGACATACATCTAGTGGAAAGACATATGTGATACAAACTGTTCTAGAAACATTAGAGGTAAGAATACATTACTGTAAGTTGTTTACAGTTCACTTTTTTTGAGTTGAGAAATTCACCCTTTAAGTCCATTTTATTAATATATAAAAGTGTATTTGTGTGCATGGTGCAAATATTAAATTCCAAAATGCAACTGATTGTTGGCTATTTGTATTACAAGGATGTCTATAAATCATGATCATGTTGAAGGCACCTTTTCACTAGGCCATCAGTAACACATTAATCATGTGGCAATAATATATTTGCATCATTTACCATTTTCTAATCTAATGTAATAAAATAAAAAGTAAGAATCTGGATAATATACATGTCAAGCCATGCAGTTACTTAAAAGTGTATTATAGATATTGCGAATCCTCCTGGTTAACAGAATGAAGTACCAAAATATACCAACTAATGTAAATGATAGTTTCTGTAGGAAAATAACTAAAGTACAAATGTTTGCTATTTAAATCATGATTAATATCAATTATTTTAATCCCTTTGATTTGTCAGGCTGTTCTGAGGTGCACTTACACTGCCTAGCAAAGTGCAAAGCTAGTAGAGTCAGAATGATTTTTTTAAAAACGTATCTAAATGCCTTGAAGCCCTGTGTTTGTTTACTTATGGAACAAGAGAAATGTAGGGTAAATTGACTTCAATAATGTTATAATTTAAATGATGATTCATTGTATTATTATAAACCTTCAGTTTTAGGCTTCAAATGTTATTTCCTGTTTTAATATGGAATTCAGTGTTAGATTTTAAGGTAGATGTAAACCTCTTGCAAGATAGCAGATGTATATAAAGCTTAAATATTGGACACTGATACATTATTTACCTTCCCAGTAGACCAACTGTCAGGGCTGTTCCCCATTCAGGCACTCCCAAGTGCAGAAGGTGGGGACTCAAAGAAAAAAACACCTTGCCTCTACAGGTTTTGCTTACAAAAACTCCCCAAAGTCACAGATTCCTTGGCTCTGAGAAACAAACAAAACAAGCTGCTACCATCAAGTGATTTTTATCCCTAAACCCCAAGAGCGAACATTTGAACCCACCTTCTGCGGCATCCCAAGCTCTTTTCCCCCAGAAGAGCTTGAAAAAAGAAAGGAGAAAAACAAGCTGCAGTCTCTGGTAGCTGACCTCTCGATCTGAGGCATGCAGACACACACAAACAGACCTCCTTTACCTTCCGGGACACAAGAATCAAATCATCACCTTAAAGTGATTTTTATTACAAAACAAAAGATAAACTTGATAAAGCATACTTGGTTGCTAGATGTTATAGAGCAACTAAGAAAAACAAATTAAAATGCAGAGAAAATCTCTGGGAACAGTGCTTAGATGGTAAATGGGGAAGGGAGGCATAGATTCACACAGAGCAGTTCAAACCAAACCACAAAAAAAAGAAAAGAGTGACTAGATTCACTTTTTTCCCCTTTATTTACTCTGTTTTCTTTGTTCAGTCTACTTTGTTCAGTCTAATGCCCTGAATTCCCTGGAGACATGGTAGTCCTGCCTGGGTTTAAATCATTCTGTCTCTCTCAGCTCCTGGTTTAACTTTCCCAAACAAAGGAAGCAAGCAACGTTCTGTCTCTCTCAGCTCCTGGTTTAATTTTCCCAAACAAAGGAAGCAAGCAAGGTATCTTATACAATTCAAATTCAAATGGCCAACATCCTTATTAACTACCTGAGTTTAACCCCTTAGTCACCGGGTGCTAGTCAGCACTCCTATCCATTACACCATTATAATTGAAAAGTAATTTTACAAACCTGCTGTCTTGAGTTAACGATTTTTAAAGTCTAATTTGAGGAATGTGATAAGGCATATACATTGTCCTATAAAATATGAGTGTGATGTGAAGAACATACCCCACACTGAAAGGGGGGGAGCGGCTAAGACTCCGTGGGCGGAGGAAATCCCGTCCCTTCACCCAGACTGGGTATGCACCAAGTCCTGAAGCAGTATAAAAGGCAGCAGAGCAGCTCAGTCGGGCAAACCAGCAAAGGATAAGGACCTCCTGCTGGAGCTCCTGAACTGCTGCAGCCAGCCACTCCAGCAGTGAGACATGGAGGCATGGGAGACAGCTACAGTGCAACCCACATGGAATTCCAGGGAGAAGCAACTGCTGGAGAGCCAGAAAACCCAGCTTCCATATGGGACATTGATCCAAACAAAACGCAGTAGAAAGTAATCCAGGGAAGATGCAGGGAGTGGCCTCTCCCACCCAGGGCTACTATTTACTGACTCTGGTTAGTGGGCCTTACTGCCCTGGACTGGTGGCCATTTACTGACTCTAGGTAGTAAGCCATACTACCTTGAACTGAGGGACATATATTGACTTTGGCTGTTGGGCCATGCTGCCTGGCGAGCAGGGCCACTTATGCACTTGGGGTTACCTGGAGACTGGTGAAGTTTCGTGGATTATAGAGAGAGCCAGATCCCTTGTGGCCAATGAGGCAGCGTCCACCCCCCGGAATGTGGGCACCCCAGTGATGGGGAGTGCATATGGCACCACACATGGTGGAGAATGTGGGCAATTCTAGGGCCTGCTGAAAAGTCTCAGTAGTGAGAAGGTGGTTTGGTTTTTCTGTGTATAGTTTGTACAGAGATGGATATGAACAAGTTCTTGCAGTGGATGGTGGAAAACCAGCAGCAGTAAGTGACCCAGCACCAACAGCAACAATCACAGCGAATACATCCACTAATCCACCAACACCAGCTACAGATGACGCAGCAGCAAGAACAACAGTAACAGCTGCTCCGTGAGCTGACCACCCAACACCAGGCACAGCAAGAATGCTTGTTTCAACAGGTCATTCCTGTGGTGTAACTAAGAGGATCCGCAAGCCCCACCGCTCCGGGAAAGAGGGCTTGACAACACCGGACTAGGGCAACCCATTTGCTTGACTAAGATAGGGCCCGGAGATGATCCGGAGACCTTTTTAGTCACTTTTGAAAGAGCTGCAACAGCCACTCATTGGCCTCAGGAGCACTGGGCTTCTATGTTAGCCCCTTATGTAATGGGACCAGTGCAAACTCCATACTGCAATTTAGATACCCGAGATGCACTGGAATATCATTGGGTGAAGGCGGCCATTTTAGATAGCACCAGCATCAGCCCTGAGATGTCACGACAGAAACTGTAGAAGGAAGGATACCCCATGGGGGCACAGCCATCGGTTGTTGCCCAAAGGATCAGGGATCACTGTTGGAAATGGTTGAATCCTGAGGGCTTAACCCGACTCCAGATCATAGAGATGGTAGCCTTGGAGCAGTTCATACAGATACTCCCTTCAGGTGCCAAAAAGTGGGTGCAACAACATCGACCAACCACTCTGACAGCAGCGGTAATTCTGGCGGCAGAAGAAAACAGAGTTCACCCTCAATGGGTGGGCAGCCCACAGAGGCAAGAGGGTCCGAAGAGAGGGGGAGCCTGGAAGACGGAACCGAGGGGCCTCCGCCACCCACCTATCCACAGCTGACCAAGATGTCTGTGACCGAACTCCGAAGAGCAGTACCGCGAAATGCCCAAGGGAGAGAGAGTTCCCCACAAGGGAAGAGAAGCTTACCCAAGGCCAACGCTAGGCCTATAGGCCCCCAGGACCAATGTTAGGAATGTGACCAAGAAGGCCACTTCCAGAAAGACTGCCCCTACATGGAGTGTGATTATGGACAAGCCTGAATTGCAGGGTGTTGTGCACGGGGACTGCAACCTGGAAAATTGGCGATCCCCATCATGGTGGAAGGGGTGGTGGCCATGGCTCTCCTGGATTTGGGGCGTAGCTACACGATTATACGGGAGTACCTCATACCTGGCCTACGGCTCACTGAGGATACGATCCATCTCCAATGCATACATGGAGATGTATGACCCTACCTGACGGTCCATATAAACTTGGATGTTTGGGACTGAAAGGAACCCCTCCTGGTGGGAGTATTATCCCAGCTAGTGTATCCAGTGGTGCTGGAGCGGGACAGGCCTATGTTTAAGGAGGCTGTGAGGGACTGTGTGTACTACCCTCCTAAAAAGTGGCAACCTAGGGTTCTAGGAGGAAAAATACTGGGACACCCCTCAGAAGCCGACCCCCCCAGGAAGGACCCTCCAGTGGTCTAAATCCGACAATGAGTGCAGACCTCAATGATGGCCTAGCAGAAGCGGATTTCCAGGTGGAACTGGAGAGAGAGAGAGAGACTTTCTGCAGGAGCAAAGAGAAGATCAAACCCTGAGCCAAGCCTGGGAGCAGGCCCAAGCCCAAGAGACCGAGGATTTAAAGGGGATGAGATGCCTTCAGGGATCACAATTTGAGATCCGGAAAGACCGGTTATACCAGGTAGTGAGGGACCTTCAGACACAAGAGGAGATAAAGTAATTACTGGTCCCATGGAGGTTGCGATGAAGCCTCTTACATTTGTCTCATGCAACCTCATGGGCTGGACACTTGGGTAGGGACAAGACTCTACAGCGGGTGGCACACCGCTTCTTTTGGCTGGGCATATCACGAAGTCTGAGACAACTGAGCATCATGCCCAGAGTGCCAGCGAACGGGACCCAAGGGGATACCCAAGGCCCCCCATATACCTCTGCCGGTCATAGACGTACCTTTGAAAGGATTGGTTTGGACCTGGTCAGGCTGTTAGAGAAGCGTAAGACAGGGAACAGGTTCATCCTGGTGATCACAGACTACGCAACCCGGTATCCAGGAGCGGTCTCACTTCGAGTAGCGACAACAAAGCATATAGCCGACAACTTAGTGAAGGTATTCGCCAGGGTGGGAATACCCAAAGAAATCTTGACAAACCAAGGTAGTAATGCCTTGTCTAAGCTGATTGGAGAATTGTGCAGACTCATACACATTCGAACTCTCCGGACATTGGTGTATCACTCTCAGCCAGATGGACTGGTGGAATGATTTAATGGCAGACTAAAATCAATGTTACGCAAGTTTGTGGAAGACAATCCACAATTTTAGGACATGCTTTTACCAGCCCTCCTCTTTGCCATAAGGGAAGTCCCTCA